GAAATGCCTATTTTCGCACTTTTGACCGCTCGAAAAAAATAGAAAGAAGGGTCAGAATCAAAAAATTCTTTCGACACGTTTCTTAGAATAGCTTATATTTGGATATAAAAAAATAAAAAAAAAAGGGTTATAAAAAAGTAAAAAAAAAAGGGTGATAGGCACTTTAAACACATTGATGACTGGCAACTTGTCCTTCTATTTTGTATTCATTCACTCTCGCTAAACCGGTAACATAAATGTATAACATCATTGGTATGAACAAGCTGCCAAGGGTCAAATTCCACATGATATTTATAGCCTAAACTTCCTTTCCTTGGTGCCACCAAAATAGATATTTTCTGTACATATTCATTACCTTTAATTTGTACCTATAATACATTAGGCGTCAATGTGTATGTATGAGGAGACCAGATTCAATATTTATTTACATATCTCAATAGATACAGAGTATTGCAGTAATACACTGAAAGATCTATTTTGAAATAAGAAGACTTCATGCTGACTTTTTAAATCATGTCAATAAATCTAATCTTTAATAATAGTTCACCTTTGATAAGAATGTTGAAAACACTTCCATTAATAACTTCATCTGTTCAGAATTAATGAAGGTTTTAAAATGTTCTGAATTCCAATTCTTTAATTTAAAATATCAAATTCTTTTACGGGTTAAGAGTATCTTTATATGCTGGTTTTATTTCTCTTTGCAAAAACTATGAAATTCGCATATGTTTTTTTAGTGAACAATCTGACATGTAAGTTGTTAGAATGAGACTTTTAAAACCCCAAAAAATATTATTACTTATAATAATTGTCCTGGTGAGTGTAGTGTTGAGAAAGACTGTTGTTGTTGGTGACTGATGTTTCAACAACCTGAGTGAAAGTCATCTATGTATCTTCAGACTCCAGTGAAAAAACAAAATATATTCAGACTCAGTGACTATGGCCAATAATAACATTCACTATGCCTTGTTAAATATTTCTGAATGTATCTATATAAGCATTATGAGTATTGGAATAAACTGCTTAGGAATTTGTTCTTCTATCATCTGAAGTTAAGTTTAACAAATTGGGTTGAAGGAAATGAGAATATAAATTTCTCCACATTTACCAGCTTAGATTATGTGAAGCACGTTTCATTTCCTGTTTGAAGATTATTCAATAAGGCATTAAGATTATGAATGACACAAATGTGTGTTTAAACTTAATATATGTGAAAAGAATATAGCAGATTCCATCGACGTCTGTCAAATTTCCATAAAAAAACACTAAAAAATCTATATTAACCTACAGTTGGGGATAATTTACCTAATGACTTCTGAAATACAGGCATGCAATTTCACATATTCAAATCAAAGCTTGAAACATACTTATAAATGGCTTCAAATGGTTCAAATCAGGCATTCATTATACATTTCTCTTGCATTCTTATCCATTTGTTTTGTGATTTTTGCTACTGGCATCTATTAAACAACCACATTCTATTCTACAGCTGAGCTACTAATGTGTCGATTTTTCAAAAAGATGTTTAATACTCGTTTAAAGCTAGATTGCCTGTAAGCTACTAATTCTAAAGATCTACTAATAGAAAGCAGATTCTTTATATGCAATATGAATGGAACTCTAATGGCCTTAGGGTTAGACCATCATCCATGGTCTATAAATAAATACAGACCTTGGAAAAATATAAAGTCAGAAACATACTGTTGAAAGTAGAGTACTATATTCATTATTAGTTCATGACTTATTCCATTGTGTATCAAAAACATAGTTTTTCAATCTATTCATTTTGTAATATCCTGAAAAAATACAGATTATGGCTTCTATTGGATCAATTGCAATTATCTCTTTATGACTGCATTTCATTGGTTAAAATAACTGAATAATGTTAATGGATATGTGAATTGATATCACACCTAGGAAAATCAATATTTGGGGAAGGAGAGCATCCCTAAAGCAATCAAGATTCAATGTATAAAGGAATATATCTAGAGGACTTGTATTCATGAGTAAACCTACAAGAAATGTTCAGATCTTTATACTATGATTAATTTGACAAGAAAAGAGATTTACTCTTCATAGAAATCCTTTGATCTTCTTAAACAATAACAGCAAAGTCAATAGGATAAAAAAAAGCTCTCATCAAGCTGCTCAAAATGCTTTTCAAAATGATTCCAAAATTTCCATATATTTTAAGTATCATTTAAGCTTATGTCAGTCTACAATACTCTATTTACTATAGATTAATGTTACAGACTTCCCTCAATAAAGGGTGAATTTAATAATACTTATTGAGAAACATCTAAGTTCTTAAGAAAAGAAAATTCAGCTAAATATGGGTTTCAGAATGTAGTGATTATTACCATGATAAGAGCAGGTGATTGAGTAAAGGAAGAAAAGACTTCACAGAAAATATTTCTGAAAATTCTGTTTGAAATTACTTGAAAGAGAAGAGAGTCAAAAATATGTTTTCTCTTAACAAATAGGATTTAAAATCTGAAATAAAAAAGACATTATACATTAATTTTGTTATGGTAAAAATGCGCAAAAAAGTACCAGAATCTACTGTTAAGAAAAGTGCTAGGTTGCATTCTGTGTAGGCAAATGATTTTTTAACATACCAAATTTTAAACCAATATTATATACATATAATAGACAACAATTTAATGAGCGAGCTAAAAAAGCATTAAATTTCAAATAAATTAGTATTCAAGTCATCTCTGTCAATAAAGAAGAGTTTTCAAAAAAGATTTTTATTGGTACACACTGTAAGTAATAATTTGCTTTATTCACATTTAGGTGAGACTATAATCATTCCATAACACTGATTTATTATGCAAATAAATGTGTATGCCAGTAGGCTTTGAAGGTACCAGAGTAAAAGATATTCCTTCCAGTTGACTACTAAATTTTTTAAAAATCTTACTCAAGTAACTACAAATGCAAAATGCATTTTTCATTTCTCAGATGTAAGGAAACCCATTCACTTATTATTTCTTGGTCAATAGGGTGTGACTATAATGTATTTATAACTATTCCACAAAACTACCATTAAAGTAAATTATGAACCTCATCAATTTTACAACTTGAAAATTGGAAGATAAAATTTTGTGAAGAACAATACATATTCGTGAATTATTCAACCAATCCGATTCCTTTAACTTGTACACAAACCTATTTTGAAAACTATTCCTAAACACTGTACATAAACTAATCAAAGAATTAGCGAAGCATTTAACAATAGAAGCTCTTTCTTATCTTATTGGAATTAAATTTTTTTCTTTTATGATTCGCTAATGATTTTTCGCTATATTGAGTGGAATATTTGATGCAAGATTTCATTTAGAAAAAGAAATGAACAATACATAATATAATAATAATATAATATGATTTATATAGCGCCTATACAAGTCGGCTCTAAGCGCTGTAAAATATATAWAAATTATGATTCAAAAGCTAGTTTAAACAAATGAGTCTTAAGGTCTTTCTTAAAAGTTTTTATACATGAAGTGTTTCTAAGAGGAGACGGTAGTGAATTCCATAGAACAGGAGCAGACACAGAAAAACAACGATAACCATAAGATTTAAGATT